TCTGCTTGCCTACTCAAAGCATCAGCGACGACGTTACATTTTCCCTTCACTGATTTCAATTCAAAGTCAAATTGACTGATCTCACCAGTCCACCGAGTCAATTTCAGTCACATCCGGGTCTGGGTTTTCAACCAGCGAAGTGTCTCATAGTCAAAGTAGAGTGTAAAATGCCGTCCGAGGAGGTAGTGTCTGCAGTGATTCAGTGCTTCCCTAAGAGCAAATAGCTCACACTCGTAAGTAGAGGCGTTAGTCTTCAAGACTGTACCCCTGTCCATCATTTTGTTGGACTACTGCGCCAATCCCGTATTGGCTTGCATCTGATGGGTCAACTATTTTGAGGACGGATACTAGTCTTTTGAAAGTTGAGGTACAGTCCTTGTCCCATTTCCAAACTCTCTTTCCTCAACAACCTACGCACCGGTGCAACGATAGTAGTGAAATTCCATATCAACTTCCGATAACAGTTGGGCAGACCTAGGAACGAACACAGTTCCGTCAACGCATGTGGGCTTGGCCAATCTCTAATTGCCGCTATTATTGGGTCTTCTGGTCTAATCCCATCTCCATCAAACACATGTCTCAAATTCAACACCTGTTGCGTGGCCCACTCACACTTCTTCAGATTCAACTGGAATCTAGCGTCTCGCAGCATCCTTGGAACTAGGCGAAGGTGCTGCTGATGTTCCTCTGAAGTGTTACTGAAAATCAAACCATCTTCCAAATAGACAACTACAAATTTGTCCAACCATTCTCTGAAAAGATCATTCATACACCGCTTAGTCAATCCGGACGGCATGACCACAAATTCATAGTGGTCGTATCGTGTCTAAAAAGTTGTGTTATATTGATCTTTGGGTTGTACCTCAATCTGATGGTACCCCGACTTCAAGTCAATGTTTGAAAAATACTTACAACTATGCATCCTGTCTACGGTGCGCCACATGGCGAAGAGCTTGGCTTAATTCATCGAGCTGTTTGCACAGCTCATCGAGTTCTTTTGGAGACATACGGTAGATGGGGCCCTTTGGAATCTTACTACCGAGTTCTATCTCAATCCGGCGCTTAATCTCCCGTTCAACTATCCCAGCTGGGCACTCTCCCACATCAGCGAACTCCTCTAGCAATTTCTGCACCTGGGGTGGCGTTGCCTCTTCCTCTTTCTTGTTCTCGCTAACCGGCCTGACATAAGTTACGAACACTTGGTCAACTAATGCATTCTTGACCACGTTCTTTGCGAACGCCATACAGCAAAGTGACAAGTTGTTCTCTTCGCCGGACTCGTGAAATAATCACATTTTCTTTTACTCACCTGTGGGGCTGGGCAACCAGCACTCGTGCTCACCCATCTCAATAGTAAGCAGCGGTCCCCCAGTTTGTCCCTGAAAATTAAGTCGAAGGGAAGGTTATCCTCTACTAAGGGAGTCAGGGAGCGCAACACTTTCTCTACCTTTGCCCCTGTCTCCAGCCGGAAGTATCAGCCAGTTACTCACAACCGGCTCGTCCAACTTCATGTTGAGGTGCATCTTCTGCAACCCGCTTCGCCTGATATAACTACGCATTGACCCACTGTCAATTAACGCGCCCAATCTTTTTCTACTTATTTCTACATCTCCTATTATTAACTGCCCCTTCGACTTCTTCTTCATTTCGGCCCAAGCTTGGCGACGAGTGATCAGCTCAGCACCGATGCCTGCGAGGGAGCCACCTAGAGAGGTCCTAGCACAAACAACTGAAGTTGTGGGAAAACTTCCTATAATGATTGGTTAATCCTATGAACGATCGCAGTTCAGTAGGTTCTTCGGCCTCGTCTAGGTCTCTAATCGCGGGTATCTTCCTATCCTCCAACCACACTCCATCTCCGACTATCACGTGACCAAGGTTTACCAGGGTTGATATTTTAGCTTCTGCAGAACCTCTGCAAATGTTCTGCATGCTCCAATAATGTTTTGCTGAAGACTAAGATGTCATCTAAGTAGACTACCACATATCTGTCAAGCCATTCTCTGAACATATCATTCATGCAGCATTGGAATGTAACAGGGGTATTGATTAGTCCAAAGGGCATCGATACAAACTCATAGCGTCCGTATGTAGTCCTAAACACGATCTTGTGTTGATCCTCCTTCACTACTTTGATCTGCTGATACCCAGACTTCAAGTCAATCTTAGAAAAATACTTGCAGCTCTGCAGCCTATTCAGCAGATCATATATCCTAGGCGTCGGTTCCACATTCTTCACTGCAGCCTATTCAGCATAATCTCAATTTCCCCTCCTTGGAACTGACGCACCACCCCTTCTCAACTAATTCATCACATTGCCCAGTTCTTTGAGTTTTGCAGGAGACATCCTATAAATAGGTCCCTTGGGTGTTTTGCTCCCAGGTGTAATTTCTATCGTATGCTTGATCTCTCTTTTTGTCACACCCGTAGGTGCCTCCTCTAACTCCGCATACTGTTTTAATAAATCTCTGATCGGGGTGGTATCTTTGTCGGTTTGTTTCTCGTTTTCCCCTCTGCAGGTATGCGATTCATTAGGATCATGAACACTTTCTCAGTCAACTGCTGCTTGATTAGGTATCTACATGGTGCACTCATGCAACACACCGACAATGTAGTGTTTACTCCAGACTCATAGTACGAGCCGGTCGGTCTCTTATTCCCCCAATTACCTGGGATCTTGCAGACTTTCCTCTTCACGCTAACATCTGCCTTTTCGTCTCCTCAGCCCATTCTACTCTTAGGATAATGTCGAATGGTACCTCTAAGAGAGTCAGGGAGTGCTAGACCTCTACCTCCTCCATGTTCTCCAACTAGAAGTATCACTTCACACAGACAAAATATTCTGTCACTATTATCTCGCTGTTGTTAGTTAGCTTGCTTATCATAGGTTGTCCCAAATTTCCTACGTGTGTTACGATCCTGGCCAATCTCGAAGTGCTAAATTCACGAGAAAGTACAATGTCGTCCAATTACAAAGAAATGAATGAACTTGAGAGGAGAGAGAGGGAAAGAAGAAGAAAGAAAGAAGAAGAAGAAGATGCACACCAGCAAATCTGAGCATAACCAATAATAATTCCCCCTTCTTCTCACCAACCAACTCATCCTCCTGATCTTCTCCTCTCTTATTCAAGCAATAAATAATAATAATAATAATAATAATAATAATAATAATAATAATAATTATGAATGGCAGAACCAGAATAAATGCCAGAATCCTTCTTCTACTGCCAGCACAACTTGAGGTACACCACACCCATGGCCTCCTCCTTCCTCCTCTTTGGCCAGGCCTAGGCTATGGCGGACTACTAAAGGCCTTGCGCTGACGTGCAAAAGACAAAGCAAAGCAGCTATGGCCTCTTCTTCTGAGGCAGCCATGCCTGACTCTGCCTCGAAACTTCTTGATGCAGCTCTACCCCAATGGGGGCCTTCAAGATGCAGCGCCCACCAAGGTGATGAAAATGGCGTCCACCATAGCCAGGTAAGTACCCCTGGAGCTTCCCTCTCCTAGTCCCCTTCTTCCTCCACCTCTCGCCAGAGCTCCACCACCATAGCCAAGGTGGAGATCTGGGCACTCCTCTTCTCCCCACAGCGCAGCACACTGGCGCTGCTCCACCACACGCTCCAGCAGCGTGTCCCCCAAACTTGCACGCAGCAAATAAGGAGGAACACTTCGCTCCTCCTGGAGATATAGCGGCCTACCTGCTTCTTGGGCAGTGACTTTCAGGCCGTGCAGCCTCCAAGCAACCGGTACCTCCTCCCTTTCAAAGGGAAACATCATTGCAGACTCTGATATCGCCCGTACAGGCCCTAGACTCAGACTACTTGGACCGGCACCCGCCTAGACCTAGCCTATCGCTACTGGGCCTCTAAATCTGCAACTACTGACTGCCCTTTCTTCCTCTTCGTCCAAAACTTGAGAAGGGTGATAAACTCTTTGTCTACATCTGTAAGCGAACCAGTCATAGAGACCCTGAAACTAGCGATCTCTTGCCAGCTATCTGAGTGGTGCACCAGCTCAGCGTCTGCCTTGGTTTGCGAACTCGATGGGGGATGGGCAGTGCAAGTTTCTATCTTCTCTACGTTCGCAGTCACGGTAGGAGAAGCTGAAAATCTACCCGGAGGTCCCTTTTGCTGGCTGGTTCTGCCACTCAGGGCAGAAAGGGATAATATGGTCATCTTCCCCACATTTAAAACATCTGCCTTTGTCCCGGTGCTGTTGCCACTGGGACTGAGACAGGCCCACCTGCTTCCTGTTTCTTCATCGTTTCTTCCTGGAAGCGTTGGGCGCGGGCCTCTTCCTCCTTGCTGCGTCCTTTAGGTGGAGAGTGGTTGCCTCTACCACCATTGGGGACCCTCCTCCTTTCCCTTTAGCGGGTGGCCCTCGCTTGCGGGCCACGACAGAAGCATATTCCCCTAAACTACTTCTACCGCAGTTGTCATCGTCCGCTATCTCCATTTCCCCATATGGAACAGTTTCTCCTCCTTCCTCATAGGTAAGGAGCAAATTATCCTTTGCCCATACCTGATAGGCCTCTTCCAAGTCTTCCCCTTAAAATCCTTTTGCTGGCAAGATCGTTAAACATTGATGTTAGCCTCCATCTCGAGGGCCTTCTTGGAGAAGGCGTCATATGTCTTCCCTGCTTGCCTAGTTTCCGCAGCTGGGTTGTTCCTGATTGCGTCAGGCAGGGCAAGGGTAAAATTCTGAAGGACTGGGGAGTCTGTTACGTTCCTGACTGTGAAACTTTCCTTCAGGGCCCTCATAAAATCCTCAAAGAGGGTGTTGTGGGAGTACTCAAAACATTACTCTCATACCCAGCTGCCTGTGCCTGTGAGCACAGCCAGGTCAGTGCATCTCCTTCCATCGTCTATTCTTTGCACATGCAGATATGTTTTGACACAGCCTCCCAATCTGGCAGGTCTTCATCCTTTTGCTCTATTCTCTGCACATACAGATACGTTCTGAACGCAGCCTCCCAAACTGGCAGGTCTTCATCATTTCTCCTATGGTATGTAAAGGGAAGCTTCACTGCTTGTGCTTCCACTCATAACCCTACTGGTTATCTTCTCCTCCACCAGCTTGTGCTCTCCCCTTCCCTTCACCATTGCCATTCCCGTTTACATCTCCTCCATTACCATTTCCTCTGCCCCCATCTCCACCGCATCCCTGTCGCTCCTCAGGAAACAAGTGAGTTTGCAACCCCTATGGCCAGCCCGACAACTTGCTGCTTTGCCTCCCTCCTATTCTCTTCGCACAGTTGGTGGAATTCTACACACATAGCCACAATACTCTCTGCGTTATCAAGGGCTACGGCGGCGTCTTCCGGCACTTTCCCTCCTTTGATTTTCTCCCCAAGGCTGGCACGGAAGGCTTCTGACTCATCTACCTTCCTCTCTTGCTCTTCCAAAATACTGCGGTACCCCTTCCTCAGGACTCGCAAGGGAATACATCGTGGCTTCTTCTGTTGATTGTGGGTTGGTTCCCTTGCCTTTGTTTCTTGTTTCCAGAAGTCTGTGGATTGTTCTTGGAATTGGCTGCTTGGCTGGACTGACTGACACTTGGACTAATGACCTCTTATATCTCTACTGAAGCTTGTTATGCCAACCCAAGATCAACTTTTGAACCCATAACAGTTATCTACCAGGGACTTCCTTCCATAGCCTGCTTAAGACTAACCTACCTAGGCAGTTGTACAAACGGAAGCTACTCTTCCTAAGCATTTTGTGAATATTGTACATGCGGCTAGGTCCGTCAATGGGACAAGGATTTTCACCCAGCACTAGGACTCGAGACTAGGACTCGGGACTGGGACTAGGACTCAGGATTGGGACATGGGACTGGGACTAGGACTCGGGATTGGGACATGGGACTGGGACTCGAGACTGGGACTAGGAACTCGAGACTGGGACTTGGGACTGGGACTCGGACTAAGGTAGTGGTGAAATCCTTTGTGATAATGTGCTATATGTGTTCATCACACTCATTTCACCGTTGCCAGCTCGGAGTTCCCATCCTAACTGTTTCCATTCTTCCTATGTTTTCCAGATAACCAGGAAATCAACGTTCTCTCCTGGCATGCATTCCCCCATCTACCTCCTAACCCGTAATGCCACTGCCTGTCCGAGTATCGACCCCGGCCTCCTCACCTCTTTCTTGCACTCAATTTGGAATCCAATCAACCTTCTTTCCTGACGTCCATTGACCCCTGTCTCTAATATCCCATAAAGCCACGGCCTATTACAGTCACAACCTCCCCCAATTCCGGCGCTTTAATTTCCTCCCCCCCCCCCCCCCCCTCCCTCGTCCCCCGCCAATTCTTTCACCCAATATTGAACCAAGACAGTCAGGGTCCAGTCCATTTGGATCATCCATCCTATCCCCATTAGAAATTACAAGGAGAAGGCAAACTTCTTACTTACAAAGATGAAAGGCCACTAAGATTCCCAAGTGCAGGTGGGATTCCTCCAGTAAGCTCGTTGTCATTTATTTGCCTGGCATCACAGACACATTGTGCAGGGAGTGGGAAGTTATTAGAATACAGGACAGCATACAGCACCATAGCCCACTGTAGTTATTGAATTGATCCTTGAAAAATGTTGTTGGGTACCCCAGCAGATTAAACATGTCCTAGAGAAACAGATGGAGTAACTTTCATGCAGACTGCACTGGACTCCCTGAACAACCTACTATCATTTCGGTGTATGGGCATTTCTGCACCCACCGGAAGCATCCGAAGTCCAGGCTCTTTTTGCTTTTCAGGGCTGTCAGTTCCGGGGGGAGGGAGGGTGGAGAGGGGGTGGAGGAGGGGCGGCTACAAATGGAAGTACAAGATGGCCTGTAGCGATGTCTCCCACAAAAGCAAAAGGAGATACGAGCTCATTCATGAGGTGTAAAGACTGGCACAACTCAGACACAGCAACAGGTCGGGAGATCTCCCGGACACAAGAACATTCATCTACAATCTGGGTATAGCAGGACAACCAGGCGGACCACAGAAGAAGACAGCAGCAAGTAATACACGGTCAGACAAGGACAGGGGATGTCGGAGAGGGCACGAATAACGCCCAACAACGATGAGCAATGGAGCTTGGACAGGGTTTGGCCTCTCTCAGAGTCCAGAGCTTCAAGTAGACCTGACAGTCAGGGTACACCCTAGCTGAGAGGACTGAGTATAAAGGCAAGCTGACAGCCAGCCAATCCTCCACAAAGACGGAGCAATCAATGCTGTTCAGGGGTCCTTCAGCCAGACGGAAGGAGGCGTGTGTGCGTATACTGTTGTATTCTCTTGACTTGCCAGTGGAAAAGGAACCGGACTGACGCTCCCCAGAATGGATATGGAGCCAAGACCATAAGGCCCGTTTTTTTTTTTGGGGGGGGGGGGGAAGAAACAAAAGCAAGTCCACAACATAACAGGCACAGGCCTCTCTCTCTCTCTCTCTCTCTCTCTCTCTCTCTCTCTCTCACACACACACACACACACACACACACACACACACACACACACACACACACACACACACACACATTTCTGTACCCATCATACATATGAGACAAGAAAAGTCCGCATAATGGAGTTGGTGAAAAAAAATTGTGCTCCATCCCAACGTACGTGACATATTTCTCCCCTTCCCTTCTTGTGGCCACACGACAAGAAGAACTGTTCACGGGACAGTGCGGGCTCGAGTGACCGGGAGGGCAGGCTGCAAATCTAGTGGGTGGGTGGCATCCGCATAAAGAGGTGGGTGGCCGTGATTGAGAGGGAGGCAGTGGCAGCAAGCGGGAGGCAGAAAGTGGTAGCAAGCAAGAGACGGATAGCAGCAGCGAGTGAGGAGGCAGTAGCACCGAGCTGGAGAATGCAGTGGCAGTGAGCATGAGTGAGGCAGCGGCGGCGAGGGAGGCATCAACAGCAAGTGAGAGATCGGCAGCAACAGCAACTTGGAGCAAGGCAGTGGCAGTGAGGCAGCTGCAGGGGGGCCGGGGGACGGACGGACGCACGGACGGGCAGACAGACAGAGACAGAGAGAGCACCACTTGATGTAGCATCAAAGCAGCAATTCACATTGCACAACTTTTGACCACCACAGCCAGGACATGGTGTTCGAAAGTGGAACCATAACAGTCGTGATATTCATGACACCCGTGCAAGGCTGTAGTGTCCAATTCTATACAACAGCAGACGGACACACCACACAGACGCGGCAATTCTTGCACGCTTCACTCCAATCCGCACATGTTGGGAGAGTGGCAGAAACAGAACCTTGGAGACGGGCAACGGCAGTGTGTACGTGTGTTATACAGAATGCCCCAATTCCACCCAGATGAATAGTTTCAGAATCAAAGCAGTCTTTGTCCTATTGCAGACAACGAGAGCATTTGAGATGTCCAAAATTTTAAAGCAATTTTATAATTAGACAGTTTTTTGGTTGTCCTTGGGGTACCCCTTTCATTCTTCTTGCAGATCCCCTTTTACTGTGCCTCTTATGCACAAGGCTGCCCACGTTGACATCCCCATGTGCCTTCACGGCCCACTTGCACGCTATTTCAGGAGGCAGAGTAAGAGGGAAGGTATGCTCCTGTGCATTTCTCTTCAGAGCTTCATACCCCTGTTCATTTCACTTCAGATCTTCAGCTTATACAGTCTTTGTGTCCGTCCTTCATCTTCATACTTCCGTTCATTTCATTTATGATCTTCATATCGTCTGTTCTTTTAATGATGCTCATTCATATGTATTTGTTAGTAGCACAAAGGGAGTGGAGGGGAGGTTGGGTGGAGGGTAAGGAATAGAAGGCGGAGTTCTATAGGAGTATGGGGCAGGGGAGGTAGGGGCAACGGGAAGGAAAGAAATACGTGGAGGGCAGGATAGATTATGACATGCAAAGAGCAGGGGAGAGGTGTATGACGAGCTTCACAGATTTCTAAATATTCACCACTGAAACAGACTACTGTAGCAAAACAAAAAACCTATGTCGAGTGGCCACCCCTACAGACTGGACAGGACCAGTTCGGGTGTGGGCTATGGAAGCACCGCATCCAATTTTCGCAGTCACAGTTGCTGCATCGAATAGCACGGCGCAGACATATGTCACAGGCTACGTGGCTCGTACATGCTAGGAACACAGACGCACGTCGACCGCAATTATAGAGGCATTGCTGTTCCAGCCCGTCTACAAATTGGACATGACATATCGGGGTGCCGTACATGAGTACAGAACCGACTGTCATTGTACGTATGGAAGCAAACACAAGGCATGTGAACCACATGCTAGTTGAATCTCCGGCGGGTCATCACAAAGTGGCATAGATAATCTTTCTTGGGCTTCCTCAGTATGTATTCCTTCTCTATGGGCAGACAAAGACAGGGAGGGTCAGTCCAACGCAAGGGCGTTCAGCTGCTGCAGGATTTGATCCACAACAGCTCGCCCTGGTGGTGATAAACTATGAGCACATCGCTCTGCGGTGGTTCATATAGAAGTCCATTTTCCTCCTCGGACTGCAGTGTCCATTGTTTGTCTGGCAAGAAAGAGGGAGATCCGTCAGCGGTTGCCGTAGGTGTATGACCAACACCGCATGTGGGACATGCTAGGAGAGGATGTGTAGGGTGATGGCACTGGGGATAGTCCACGCAGTAAAGACACATACTTTCTATGACAGCTTCCTAGAAGCATTGACGACACATGGCATGTTGCTGACATGTCATTAGTATGGAAGGCTGACGTGCACAGTTATTTAAGCATGGCAGATCAAGGCCACAATGGCATGCTGGGCAAGTAATCAGGGGGTGTGGGGGATGAGCACAGGACAGGGGATGACAATTTTCTTGTGAGAGGCTAGCAGCGACCATCCCTTCACAGTGTTCAAAGCAGAGGCTATGTCGTGTACATGCCAACCAACCTGCACCTGTGCGACGACACAATGGGAGGGCACAGCCATCATCCTGTGGAGAGGTCCTTTCACTGTTTGTGGTAGAATCAGCCAGATTGCTCGACATACTGTTCCTGATGGACGAGCCAGACTGAGTGATCCTCCAGCACTTGGTGATAGAAAGAGTTATATTTCCCACTGTGTGCACCCTACTGCCATTGTCCCATAGGGTCCATGGATTATCTGCAAAGGTAAGAGCACTGAAATGACCTGGACGATATAGGATATATGCCCGAATATTCGG